TTAAAGGAAGGCTCAGAGCTGCCCCATAGACTGAAACACGGTGGTTGCAGATGCTCTTTCTCCAGCATGGCTTCCCTGCGGCAGCCTTACCTGAAGGGAACAGAAGACGCTGCACAGGACTCCCCAGCCCAAGGCCTGGCTGGCCCCCTCGGCCCTCCTCAGTGTGGAGGGAGTCTTGCTGCTGGGGCACCCCAGGGTTGTGTGGGCAGGTGTTCTACCTGCCCGCCTGGCTCCAGGGCTGGTGAGGTACACAGAGCACCAGACCCTGGAGGAGAAGCTCCAATTCGCAGCCTCCCAGCCCCACAGTCTCCCAGGTGCCTTTGTCAGGCAAGGTGCGGCCTCAGGCACCCTCTGTCTGTCCTGCTGAGCGAGCTCTGGGGGGGCTTGGGGAGGGCTTTTCAGGCAACCTCAGATGACTGATGGCCCCTCCCATGCTTGCTGTAAATAATAGATCAAAGCCTGTACTTCTGCCAGACCCTGCCACCGGGAATGCCGGGAATGCCGCAGGAACACGCCTTCCCAGGGCTGCATCCGTCGTCGCTCACACTAGGGGCCCACTGTCTCTGCAGCAGGCTAGCTCCTGCGGTGGGGAGTGGGGGGCTGCGTGGGAGAGGCCTCCCTGCCAGCAGGCTGGGGGCCCTGCCGTTGTCTGCCCTGGGCCTGGCAGCAGAGAGCTGGCCTGCTGGCCCTCCTGACCCTGCTGGCCCTCCTGACCCTGCTGGCCCTCCTGACCCTGCTGGGGCTGGGTGGGGAATGGTGCATGGGGCCTGCACCTGCTTCTGCTGCTCTCTGTGTTCCATGTTCTCTCTCTCTTTCTAGCACTCTGGGCTTTCCTTTCCTTGGAGAAGAGGGAGCTGGGAGCACTTCCTGCATGTTCTGTGATGCAGTGGCTTCTGGATGTCAGAGGAAAACAGTGATTTCCACCGAGCTGGCTTCGTTTTCCCTAGAAGCTCCTAGTGAGATCCTGGTTAAAAAGCAAACCATACTTGTGGAGGACTATGTTTCTCATGCAAATAACATTGGCGTCTGGGCCGGCTCGCCTAAGTTTTTCCCATTAAAAATCAGCAGATGCCAGGTGTGGTGGTGCATGCCTGCAATCCCAAGGGCTCGGGAGGCTGAGGCAGGAGGATTGTGAGTTCAAAGCCAGCTTCAGCAACTAAGTGAGGCCCTAAGCGATTCAGCAACACCCTGTTTCTAAATAACAGTGCCGGCAAGGCCAACTTCCGTGATGTTTCTGGATTAAAGGAAGGAAATGTGAGCTTGAAGTCGTTAAGAGGCAGCAGGTGCTAATCGCCTCTAGCCCATGAGCAGAGGGAGGAACGCTGGAGCTGCGTCCACCACCCAGTTACTCTGAAAGCACAAGCGTGATGTGTTATTCACACTCCCCCAAGTTGACGCCTCAGCCATGGAGACTTAACCCAGCAGAGGAGACTCTCGGGGTGCAGGGTGTGGGAGCCAGCCTGCAGTGGACCCAACATCACCCCTCCCGTGGGACGCCGGGGGTCTCAGCCCACCTCTGCTCCGGGGTGCATCCCTTCCCGTGGCTGGACCACAGCCCCTGGTTCTCTCACTGAACATGGAACCTGCTGCCCAAGAGGCCTCCTGCCGCTCTTCCTGTAAGCCACCCCAGGTGACCTGGGCTCACTGCTCCTCGACCCAGAGGACCCCACAGAGCATGCACGTGCAGTGGTTCAAATCCTCGTGTTCATTTTAGGAACTGCCGAGAGACTGCCACCAAGTACCCAAGAGCTCAGAACCCTCATGGAGCTCTGTGTCTGTGGTGTTTCTGTGGCTTGCTCTCAGCAGAGCCACTCGCCCCTCCCAGTTCTGTCCCTGTCAGCCCATCTGGTGGATGCCACGGCTCGGCTCCTCCTGTGAATCAGGTGTGGGTTTGCAGGGTGCCGGCCCAGGAACTCCAGAGTCCTTGTGGGGAGTCAGGGCCACTGGGAATGGTTACCTTGGAGGCCTCACTGCCCTGTGCCTCCACCAGGCACAGGGAAGAGGCAGGGTCTAACCTGCCAAAGGAGCACCCTTGCTCCGGGCAGACCTGCCCAGCATCCTGTGTCCAGGAAGCAGACTTGGCATGGGCAGGGGCTGGCAGCTCGCAGGGCTCACAAGCCGGCCGGCACCTTGCCCAGGGACACTCTATGACACCAGGTTCCGTGGACACCCCCAGCCCTCTGCCCTGTCCTCACCCCAGTCCTTCTCCTAGAGGGTGGTCAGGCCTGCACTTCTCCAGCGAGCTGTCAGTGCCCCCTTCCTGTCCAGGCAGGTCTTCCCACCAGCTTGCATTTTGAAATAATTACAGATTCACAGGAATTTGCAAAAAGAAAAAAAAATATCGAGGGTGATCCCCTTTCCCTGTTTCCCTCAAAGGCTGAGCTTGGGAACTGTGCCACCACGTCTCTGAGGTAGCTCTGTGCTCAGAATTCACTAGGATTTCACGATCTAGGCAGGTGAGTGTGTGTGTGAGTGTGTGTGTGTGTGAGTGTGTGTGTGTGTGTGTGTGTGTGTCTGTCTGTCTGTCTGCCGCTACAGGGCACGTAGATACATGCAACCACCACCACACCCAGAAACAGAATTGCTGGCCACCCCGGGCTCCTCGGGCTGATCCTTTGTGGCCACCCCCCACCCCTGACCCAGGCAACACCTCATCTTCTCCATCTCGTGATTCTGCTGTTTCAGGAATGTTAATGGTAAGCGAATTACACAGCGGGGCACACTTCCCCGCTGTCTCTCCAACACATTTGCACGTATCCGGTGGTTTGCTCCTTTTTCTTGTACACGGTGTTCCTTGGTGTCCATGCACCGTGGTTTCTCCAGCCGTCCGCCTGCTGCAGGACAGCTGCTCTGTTTCTGGCTCCTGGAAACAAGGGTGTGATGAGATTCACGCCTGAGTTTTCATCAGGTTTCATTTCCCAGATAAACGCCCACAAGTGCACTGGCTGGGTCACGTGTTAAGTGAGTGTCCAGTTTTCGAAAGGAGGCTGCCAGTTTTCCAGAGTGGTAGAAACCCCACGTTCCCACCAACAGCGTACGGCCTCCGGGCTCCCCACGTCCTGGCCAACGTGGGGCATCCCTGTCTTAGCTTCACCGGTTCGGAGAGGCTGCAGTGGTATTTTACTATGACCTCGTTTGCATTTCCCTGGTGGAGACCATATTGAACATCATGTGCTTTTTCTCCATCTCCACATCCTGTTTGGAAAACTCTAGTTTGTCTTTCACCAAGCTTCTGACAGTTTCTCTGGGGCCTTACTGCTGAGCCTTGAGGGTCCTTTCCATGTGGAAATGTCCCCTGGGCATGGAGTGCCCTCCTTCTTGCATCTGCAGCTGGCCTTTGCGTCCCCCTCTCGGCCTCGTGCAGGACAGTGTTTGTAATTGTTGAGGGCCAGGTTATGGTTGGATGTGAGGTGTCCCCCAAAAGGTCACACGTGAGATGATGCGAGAAGGTTCAGAGAAGAAATGACTGGATTACGAGAGCCTTAACCCAATCAGTGAATTCATCACCTGATGGGATCGACTGAGTGGTGACTCAAGTGGTGGGTGTGGCTGGAGGAGGGGGCACTGGGGGCACAGCTTTGGGGTATCAATTTGTATCTGGAGAGTGCAGTCTCTCTCTGCTTCCTGATCACCATGTGAGCTGCTTCCCTCCACCACCCTCTCCCACCATGAGGTTCTGCCTCACCTCAAGCCCCGAGGAAGGGAACCAGCCTTTTATACACGAAGACCTCTGAAACATGAGCCCCTAAATCAACATTTCCTCCTTTCTAATTGTGCTGGTTGGATCCTTTAGCCACAGCAGCTAAAGCAGGCTGTGCATTTAAAGGGCTGCCATTCTCCCATTGGCTTGCTTTGGTAACTCTGCCAGAGGCAGCTGGTCAGGGGTCTTTTTCTGAGTTCTCTGTTATGTGTTGCTGGTCTAGCCCTTCTCCACCACCACAGTCTCTGATTGACCAACATAGCAGCGGCCCTAACATCAGGAGTATTCCTCTCCCTTGTTCCTTTTTTTCATATAAAATGCAGGATAATCCTATCTGTGCCATGGGGGGGAAATCTTGCTGGGATTTTTCTAGGAAAGGACTGTGCTAACCCTACGGAGCACCTGAGAGCCCATATCTTTCCTGTGCTGTCTCTTCCAATCCATGAACATGGTCAGCCTCTCCAGCTGTTTAGGTCATCTTCGACTTTCTTCAACATGTTGTGATTTTCAGCATATAGATACCATTTGTGACTCATCACATTTCATCTGAGTGCTCATTTCCATTGGAGCAATCATAGATGCTATTATGTTTTTAATGTTTTACATGGTTTTGCTCACATATGTAAATGCGATTGATTTTTTAGTTGATCTTATATCCTATGACCTTGCTAAATGCATTTATAAATTCCAGAAGTCTTTTGTAGAGTCCCAGAATTTTCTACTTAAATAATCATTTCATCTGTAAACAGAGACAGCTTCATTTCTTCCCTTTTTTGCCTGTATGCTTTTTATTTTCTTGCCTTATTGCACTAGCTACAACTTCTAGTACTATGCTGAATAACAAGAAAGATATTTGCTTCCTTTCTGACTTTATGGGGAAATTTTCAGATCTTCACCATCAAGCACAATGCTAGTTGTAAGTTCCATGTGATAATTTTTGCATACTATAAGAGTTTCTAATGGTTGCTGTAACAAATCATCACAAATCTAATGACTTAGAACAACACAGACTTATGCTTCTACAGTTCTGGAGATAAGAAGTCACAAATTAAGACTCTGACGGACAGCACTCCTTCTGGAGGCTCTAGAGGGAGTATATGTCCTTGTTTTTCCTAGCTTCTAGAAGCTTCCCACATTCTGTGGCTCATGGACTTTTCCTCAAATCCCTCCATCTCTCTGCTTCGTCATCAAATCTTTTTCTTTCTCTCTTACCTTCCTCTCTTCCTCTAAGGAGGACACTTGAGATCACATTGGGCCACCCAGAAAATCCAGAATAATCTCTCCATCTTGAGATCCTTACCTTGACCACACCTGCAGTGCTTTCTGCCAGGTCAATGCAGGTGTCACGGGCCATCCCGCTCACAGACAGGTATGAGTGTCAGGCAGGCGGCTGTCTCGGGGCCAGCACTCTGCCAACCACACACATGGTACCATGCCTGTCTGTTTACCTGTCTGTCATTCCTCAGGATATCCTCATACCTAACAAAGGGACTGACACAGACAGGCCCAGGAGGTCATTGACCCAGGAACAGACAGGTGAGAGCAAGGCCCTTCTTGTCAGCCTTGGGAAAGCCTAAGAGTGGACCACTTTCCTAGTTTTTTTAACAGAAAAATGGAGATGGTGGGTCTGATGGATACCAGTGGGAAATGCAGATCCTGGCACAGAATATTTGAATTCAGGGCTCAGAAAATCCAAGGGGCAGCTTTTTTCACAGGCCAACCTGTGCATCACTCACCACCCCAGAGTGCTCCCTCCCGACTCACACGGAGAGGCCGACATCACAGGGGAGGATACGCGCCACCTGCCCCCCAGCCCCGTGTGCTCCAGACCTGGCTTCACTGCATACACTACCTGCCCCTCGCTCCGTTGTCAGGAGTCAGCAGGGGCAGAAAAGTGTCCATCCGCCTCTCCTCCCTCCTCCTGCTCCTCCTTGGAGGACTTACAGAGCAGGCTGAGAACAGCTGGGCAGGATCCAAGGACATGGTTTCCTTGGCTCGTCCAGAATCAGCTCATGCAACTGGCTGATTGTGTAACTGAGATGCGTCATGGGGGGGTCTTGCAGGGGATGCCCTGAGGTTCTGCTTCCTGGGTGGTCCTCTCTGGACAGGAGAGTGCTGTGGTGTCCCAGCCTTCCAGCAGAAGGTGGTAAAGGGGACTTGAAGGACTATGACCCAGCCATGAGGTTTGGGGACATTCCCCAATGTGAGGACTTGGGTGTAATAAAAAAAAAAAGATAATAGTTCTGCTTTTGTTTTGTCTTGGGTCCTCTTAAATAAAAAAGCAAAGACAGCCACGTGTTTCAGCAGGAGCAGTGGGTGTTTTAACAGGACAATCTTCACTTTGCAGACGCATCCCTGTGTTATCAGGGCTGTTCAGTCTGCCAGGGGCTGCCCCATTTCCTGTCTGTAGTACTCCCAGCAACTGTGAAAAGGAAAGCATCCAGAAGTTCCCCCCGACATACACATACCCACACATCACACCCACCTGACACATCACACATATGCACAGATACACACCACATTATGTCACATACATACACATGCCACACACATCAGACATACTACATAGGTATCATATGCACATGCACATACACAGAGACACACAGACATGACACACATACACACTAAACACACAGATGTCACCCACATATCACACACACATTACACACAGCAAATGCACACAGACCAAGGTTTACCAGAAAGAGTTGGGAGGCTGTTCAAGAGGGCTAGGGAGCTATGTGGGTAGCGTTCATGCTTGAAATACTTGTAATCTGGACCCAGTATCACAGAGGATGGCAGGACAGAGCATCCACCATGTCATGTCAGGGCCACGTGGGTGTGGGAATGCGCCAGGCAGGGCCCCAGGTGCACGGGGGCACCGAGCACCACGACGTGGTCTTTACGGGGAGCACTGCGTGTGATTCCTCCAGACCTTGAGTCTGCGCACTCATTGATTTTCCTGCAGCTGTAAGACTCTTTTTGCCAAGCAGCCTGGGCCGCCCAGCCCCCTCCATGGCACAGAGTGCTGCATGCACACCTGGCATCTGCTGGCACTTCACCCACTGGGCTTCTCCACTAAACAGGACACCCGAGGGTGGGCTCTGGCTAGTCCCAGATCCTCCATGCGAGCAGCTGTGACTGAGAGGGCTGTGGAGCTGGGTGCTGGGTGTTCAGTGCCGGGTGCTCGGTGCCAGGTGCTCGGTGCGGGGGCACAGAGGCAGGGCTTCACTCCACTGCTTGGGGAGCTTAGGATTGTCTGTGTCACACACAGCTTCCTGGAGACCCCCACCCTGCTTCACTCCTCACCAACAGAGGAGCAGAGAGGGGAGCCCCTCCCATGAGCTGAGGAGGCACAGGGTCTTCCCAGCCCGCAGGCGGCAGCCAGGCCTGCTATTGCATGGACCCTGGGCTCCTGCACAGGGAGGCCCTGGACCTCACTGCTGGCCCTGCTTGGCCCCTGCTAAGAGCAGACGTCAGGGACTGACAGAGCAGGTGGGCTGGCCCACTGTGTGGACGTTTCCTGCCGTGGTGGGTTGCTCCTGCCCTCTGTCTGAGAGGTGATGATGAGGGCCGTGGTGGTGGCCTCAGTGGCCTCCGATTCTGACACTAAGCCCCCCGGGCCAGGGGCCAACTTGCTTCTCTGAGCCCTGTGGTCCCTGCAGCACTGCTGAGCACCTTCCTCAGAGCTCCGCACGGCTTGGCTTTGTTCCTGTTCTGGAACGTTCCTCCCCACCCCTCCACCGCTACCCCAGCCCTGTGCCCTACTCCCTGGGTCTCACCGTCCCCAGACTCCTCCCTCCAGGCGGCTGGGTGCGGTTGGGTCCCACCCTCCTCACTGCTGCTCCTGGGGTCCCCTCCTGTCTGGTGGTCTTTCCCTTGGAAGGAGCCCACCAGGGCAGCCGCAGGCTGTCCGGGGTCCTCAGAGTCCTGGGTCTCAGCGAGTCCTCAACCAACACCTGAATAGTTCACTGTGCCCAGAGCTGGGGAACCTGAGGGGCCACGGGCGCTGGGTGGGCTGCGGCAGGCAGGACCAGGCTCTGCCGGCGTCCTCCAGGTGAGAAGGCCGGGCCAGGATCAAGGGGCTCCTTCTCCCAGGCTGAGGGTATCTCTGCTTTGTTCTGCTGGAGACAGGGGTCCTCAGCTATGGGAGGGGCTTGGTGAGCTGCGGCAGGCAGGCCTTCACTCAGCGCCTTGCGGAGCCGGAGCCCAGGGGAACCTGGGCAGCCTCAGGAAGGCACACGGTCTTTCCCAGCCGCAGGCGGCAGCCAGGCACAGGCAGCCTTCCGTCTGGGTCCAGAAGGCTCCTCCGCCAAGGCAGGGTTTGCAGGAGGCTCAGCACACTGACCCCAGGCACACACTGGCCACGACACGGCCAGGCGGTCAGGCCTGGACACTTCCAGAGGGGACCCCCTCTTACACCCTGCCGTCCGCCCCCAGGACCCTGGGAAGGGGAGGCCAGGTGCATGGCTGTTTCCCGGGTGACGTGTCCCCCGACCTGCCCTCTTCTCCACCCAGGGCCTCTGTCTCTGGGGGTCGCCTCCCGAGGCATGTCGCACGGCAGGCCGCTCCACGCAGTCTCCTCCCTGCACCTGCTGTAGCTGCCTGAGGGTTAGTTTGCGGATTTGATGTCTCAGCAAGGCCGTCGTCCCCTCTGGTGGCCACGTACATTTCAGCATGTGACCACATGTGCTTCTCCATTTTTCTTGATGGATAATGTTGATGTTTTATTTCCTTCCAGCAGATATTTAATGATGAGTTCCTGGGTCGAGTGGTAAATTTACTTAACTTGTTACGACACGGCCAAGCCACACTGGGGCTCCACATAGATCCCCCCGAGATGTGGAGGCTGCTGCTTCTCCACGTCCTCAGCCACACGTGGCCTGTTTTCATTACTGTCATTACCACGTACTCCCGCACCCCGGCCACCGCTGCAGCTTGTCAGGTGCTACCTCCTCACGGCTCTTACTTTGGTTTCCCTGATGACTAGTGACAGTCCCAGGGCCTGGGAAGGGGAGGCCGGGTGCATGGCTGTTTCCTGGGTGACGTGTTTCCCGACCTGCCCTCTATGAATTGCCTTAGAACGTGTGTGAAGTCACTTGACTCTAAGTGTAAGGACACGTACCCTGTTTCTCTTCTATCAGTTACTGTCTCTTTCCCTACATCAGTGTCAAATGTCTTGAGAACCAAGCTTTAGAGTAAGTTTTGACAATAGGAAGTGGACATCCTTCAACTGTGTTCTTCTTTTTCACTAAAATTATTTTGGCTATTCTAGACCTTTTGCAATTCCATGTGATTTCTAAGTCCATCCTATAGATTTCTACAAAAATGGTCTGTTGAAATTTCAATAGTGAGTTTTATCTGTAGATCAGTTTGGGAAGAGTTTACATCTTAGTAATATTGACTCTTCTGTTCCACTAACATAGGATGTGTGTTTATTTAGATTTTCTTTAATTTTCCTGTGTAACATTTTGTAATTTCAATGGGCAAGTATTATACTACTTTTGTTATCCCTAAATGTTCTGTTTTTGATACTGTGGTACAAGAAGTTGTACTCTTGATTTTATCCTTGGGTTTTTCATGGTAAATATATAAATAAGTATACCTACATATAGAAACGTAGTTGGCTTTTGCTTATTTATCTTATAGCTTGTGTCTTTGCTGTACGACTTCATTATTTCTAGTAGTTTTATGCATTTTAGAGTTTTCTACATAAAGAATCATGTAATTCTCAAGTTATGATGTTTTTGTGATGTTTCCTTTCATTTTGATGGCTTTCTATTTTTTTTCTTGCTGATTACACTGGCTAAAACCTCCAGGATTTGTTAATAAAGAAATGAAGACAGCAGCGTCTTTCTTCTTCACGATCCTGGGGAAGCCTCTGGCCTTTGGCCCCTCGGAATGGTGTGAGCTGTGGTCTTCTGTGGACTCCTTGGTCAGGTGCTTTAGCCCCCTAACACTTACTGCACTCCAGGCCCTGGGGTGCTCCCTGGGCCTGCCCCCCCCCCCCGCCATGTGTGCTAACTGTCCACTCCACAGTGGGAGAGCGGGGTGCAGATAAGCCAGGGCCTGGTCCAGAGTCTCAGACCAGCAAGTGGCAGACCCATGCTCTGAACCCAGGTCGGCTGGGTTCAACCCCACAGCTCAAACCTGCTCCACATCTGGCCAGCACCGTGGGAGTGGGAGGCAGCTCCCAGGGTATCACACGAGTTGTGCAAAGGCCCTGCTGCTGGTGACTCTGGTGAGATCAATTGCCGTTCTCCTTTTCTGTGGCCTTGCAGTGAAAAATGCTCTTTTCCTTGTGCAGGGTCACTGTGTGCAGAGCGGCCTTTCCAGGTGGACACCCCATGTCCAGGT